ATTTGCTTTGAGATGGATCTCAGTATAGCCCCAGCTTTCCCAGGACTCACTTTGTAGCCCAGGCTAGCCTTGAATTGGGTTCTTCCTCCCTCAGCCTCATAAAGGCACTTGTATGCTATAGTACAGTCTTGTGAAAAACACTTGCTGAGTATTCTTTTTCTGCACATGTCTACATATTTGTTCATCATACTTGTGACATGATATACAAGTACTTGTTTATTCTATTTCATTCATTTTTTCTACTGTGGTTGTTACATTCATTATATTCTACAGTCCATGATAAAAGCCAAAAATTGTCTTATGAATATTATATATATATATATGTGTGTGTGTGTGTGTGTATATATATGTATATATATTTAAATAAAAGTCACCTCTTTGTGTTACCATGAAAGACATTATTCATTAAAACATGGGCAGGAGAGTGGACTGTGAACCGTTCTGTTTCTTTTTTTTTCTTTTTTGAGATTGTATTTTAATTAAGTCCCCCCCCCCAAAAAAATGCTCCTATATATCCCTCCATGCTTTCCTTCAAATTCAAGGTCTTTTTTCCATGAGTTGTTATTGTATGCGTATATGTATTTGTATACATATATATCCCCAAATATAACCTGTTAAGTACATATAATGTTACTTGTATGTAGGCTTTCGGGGCTTTTAGCATTGGACAAACAATTGGTGTGTTGTTCCTGGGTCTTGGTTTTTGAAAGGGAGTATTTGTTCATCCTTGGACGGTCAGAATTAGAGCGTTTGTTCCTTGCAGTCTTTGCTGTGACCCACTGCTTATCTGAAGCATGCCCATTGCCAGACTCTACTCTCTTACACGAAATATTTGTTCAGACATTTCAGAGTCTTCTACTTACTCTGCTCACACATTCTCTACTAGTTCTTAAAAATGTATATGTGTTTATAAGACATAGTAGTGTAAGTCACTTTGTTAGCATAGCATTAGGTGACTCTATTAAGTTAGGTTTGTTCAGATATTGTTTTAGAGTTGATGTTTTGGTATATACTGTTTAGTTATTTGAAAGTCTTAACTGTTTTCTAATATGGAATACCATTTCAAAAATAGATTATAAATTAGTTTTAAATTCAATCTGAATAAGTAGATAGACTCTAAAAGACAACTACATTGATAGTAGTCTTTTTGTATTTGTAAGAGAATTCTTATAAACTCCAGGAGTATCTTTTGTTAAAGCATATAAATAATGTGTTCAGTCTTAATAATGGATGTTCAGTCAAAATGTCTCTCAACCAACATTTATCCTTCTAAGAAAAATATCATGCCTCAAAAAAAAAAAAAAGGAAAACTATTGACTGAAAAAGTCCTGCTTGAAACAGTATCACACATCTGCTTGAGATCAGTTGTATATAATATCAGATGAATATAAAACGATTCTTGATGTTGCTAGCTGTCTATCTGGTCCAGAGCAGGTTATATCAGCAACAGTGAGTCAGAATCTAAAAATAAAGATGGCCACACCATAGCTATCTAATGAAGTTATTTTATGTGCAGCTAACTTAGTGCCCTGAACTCTTACAAGGAAGCTAGCGTGTTGGCAAGTCTAATGTGGTTGAGACCATGTGGGGTCAAGGCTGGTCCCACCTCTTATCTGTGTCACCCAGCTTATGTAACAAGTTACCGAAGCCTTTCTTCTCTTGTATATAAAATGAGGAGATGTGCTCAGTTTCCGTGCACATGCTTAGCATTTGCCTGTCCCCGAGCCTAACCGTGGGTAGGAAAAAAGGAAGTGAGGGGAAGAGAGCAGAGGAGGGAAGGAAGGAGAGCGCCGTTCCCCACATCCACGTCTGCTCACAGAGCCTATGGATTCGTAGGTTGCATGTGAAGCACAGAGCAGAATGCCTGGCACGTAGAGGCACATAGCGCACTTTTGCTATTGTGGTTGTCCTGAAGGAGTAGGGCTAATATATTTTCATATGTGGCAATAATCCTTTGTGTTATATTTTCTTTATGAATAGATTCTGGAAACCAAAATGGAGGAAGCGATGATAAATCCAAGAATTCTGAGAGAAACTATTTAAATATTTTACCTGGTAAGTATTATTTTGTTTTAAATCATTGCTTTCTTATAGTCACACACATTAAAATAGTAGATTTGAAACATTTATTCTTTCGGTGTGCATTTATAAAATGTTTGGCCATATATCCCTTTGAAACAGCACTTGTATCTGTATAATATACTTTCACAGACGTTCTCCAATGTAAACCTCATTTTTATACTAGAAATTACTTACTTCTAGATCCCCAAAATGTTAGTTTCGCTTACATTTCATGATTTTATATTTCTAATGCATTGTTTCTTAGTTGCTAAGGAATGAGCTGAGAGATGTTTTTAGCTCTAAAATATAAGCAGTAGCGCGCAGAGATGAACGTGGTTGATCTTGTAATGAGACCATTTGACGTGGAGTCTAGTTCGCACCTCCCCTCATGTCTTTCTGCCTGTGTCTGTCTTTCCTTCCCTTATTGCTATTGGGCGTACTTAACAGCTGGAGCTCAAGCTCTCCGACTTCCTGCCGGTTCTTACAGCCATTCACCTGCCAAGGCACCACGTGACCCCGTGTGAGCTCTTAAACACAGTGGTGGGTTTTACAGTCTTAAAAATAGCCCTTCCTTGATAGCTTCTGCCCTGTTTTAAGGCAGTTTCTCACATTTCCTTCCTCAGATCTTGAACATGCAGGCCATGTCGCTAATTTAAGAAAGTCATTCCCTTTTCTGCATTCATCAGATTGTGGTCATCGGCCTCCGTTTCCTCCCACCTTCGCGTCTCCTGCCCTCGCAGATAATAGTTAGAGTCACCACAGGCTGTTCCACCCTTTGTGGGGCAGGAGACCATTCATCCGTCACTCTTCGTAGGCCCTGAGTCATCACACTGTGGCTTTCTAGGAGTGTGTTGGCTGGTACTGTTTTGGAAGTGCCTGTATCCTTATTGTTCTATTTCTTTCCTTCCTTTCAAAAAAGCCTATGAGTTAGTATCGTTATTACCAATAAGCAAGGGGTGGTACGCCTCACGTCTGAATTAGGAGAGGAGTTTAAACCACCCACCACTGACAGCTTCTATATTTCCAGCATAGCCAAAATATTGGCAGGAGATGAAAAGTATCTCATCAAAACTTATTATTATCATGAAGAAAACCACTTGTGTTCATATACTTTTTTCAAAATTTAATTTTTAATTTAAAAATTTTTCATACAGCATGTGTTTACTCCTACTCCTTTCCCCTTAACCCAGGAACGGTTGTTTCTTTGTTATGAACTAGGTCATAATTTTCATCTAATTTTCACAACAGTTTTGTAAAATAGCAGTTTGGCCTTATTTCCACATTTCCTGCACAAAGCACCAGGTGAGTAAGTTAAGTGGGTTTGCTGTCTCACCTGGCCAGAGTGCTGGAGAGCAGCAGATCTCCCTCGCTTCCAACCTAGAACCCTTCCTACAGTCTCTCAGTCATTTTACCACTGCCAGCACCTGGACTGACCCCATTTTATTAACGGGTAAAATGAGACCAGAGGCAAGTCATTTGAGGTCAAACAAAGCAGTGCCAGGTTAGGGATTAAGGAACACCTGACTGGCTCACTAAGCCATTCCCCCTTTTCCCTGCTGGCCCACAGCCCAAACCCAGAGCTGGGAGTCCCTCCCGCTACACTAGCAGACACAGCACAGGACCCAGAAGATCACTGCCTATGTGGTGACTCCTTGCTGACAAGCGGTCCCTGTCTCTCATAGCATCTCCAGATGGTTTCCTTTTTACTTTCTCTTTGACTAGCTCTTTTTATATCTCTACCCCTATCCTTTGTTCATGTTCTTTTTCTAGTTCATTTGTTTGTTTGTAAAGAAGAGATTTTGCCCGAGTCCTATGAGAGGCATCTTGAGGTGCCCCTTATATACACTAGTAACTGAAGATGTTAAAGTGCAAAACCATATTATGTACTTTATATTTTATTACATTTATTTAGATGTGTGTGTGCATGTATGTGTCTATATTCATGTGTGTGCACATATAAAGATCAGAGGATGTAGTAATATTTTATTTGTAATCTAACAGATAAAGTTTGCGTAAAGATCAGAGTGCAGAGCTAAGCCACTAATTAGCCACAGAGGCCAGGCAGTGGTGGAGCACACCTTTAATCCCAGCACTCCCAGGGAGACAGAGGCAGGCGGATCTCTGGAGTTCAAGGCTACCCGGGGCTACATGAGAATGAATCTATCTAAAAGAGAAACAGAATTTACACAAAGGTGATCCCAGCTCTTAGAATCGCATATCTTTAATCCCAGCACTAGGGAGGTGGAGACAGGAGTGATATGGCTGGGCGGAGAGAGGAATATAAGGTAGGAGAAGTCACAAGCCCAGAGCATTCTGAGGATTCGTAGAGATAGATGGATGTGGTCTGAGATTTCGTAGAGGGAGATGCAGTCTGAGGTGTCGTAGAGACAGCATTCAGTCTAAGGTTCGTAGGGACAGCATTGACCCTCTTGCTCTGAGCATTGGTAGAGAGAACTCTAGTTGCCCATGGCTCTGCTTCTTTGATCTTTCAGCATTAATCGCTATATCTGACTCTGGGCTTTTATTATTAAGACCAATTAGAATTCTTGCTACAGGAGGACAACTGTGGGTGTTAGTTCTTTTTTTCCTCTACCATGCTGGTCCTGGGGACCAAGCTCAGGTCATCGGTGTTGGCAGCAAATGCCTTTGCCTGCTGAGTGTCTAGCCTGGCCAAAGTACTTCTATAAAATGTTTTCTCAAACACATTTACTGTCTCATATAAATACTGAAAATAAGTACATATATCTTACCTTTCTGTATTCCTAGATTGATTTATTTTAGATTCTAATAAACAAAAGTATAATAAACATAAGTATTCATAAAAGGAAAATGAATTTTATTTTTTAATGATTTATTTATTCTTATTTTATGTGCATTGATGTTTTGTCTGCATGTATATCTATGAGAGGGTGTCAGATCCCCTGGAACTGGAGTTACAGACAGTTGTAAGTTGCTATGTGGGTGCTGGGAATTGAACCTAGGTCTCCTGGAAGAGCGGCCAGTGCTCTTAACCACTGAGCCGTCTCTCCAGCCTCAGGAAAATGAATTTTAAAGCATAAAGAGGTTAGTAAGTAGCCAGATAGATGAACCTATTTTGTAATATTAAGCCACTGAGTTGTTATTAAGCTTTTAAAGTTATTAAGATGAATTTTATCTATACAAGGTAATTTATAACTTGTTCTCAACTGTTTTGATAGTTGAATTTTTTATTAAATTAATTTATTTTTTAAAACGATCTTTTCTCATTTTATATACCTATCCCACTCGAATTTTTATACACTTTAAAATTGTCAAATTTTAATGAAAAGACAAATGAAACATTTATATATGAGTTTTTTTAAAAAAAAATTCTCCAACTTCACAAGTAAATAATGACTACTCATCAGTTTCGTGTATTAGTACTGTGCACCAGAATATACTTACCTTCACATATTTTAAACCATGTTTCCCTCTAGCACGAGTCCCAATGGGAGGTCGTATACAGTTTGTTCTTGATAACACAGTACTAATGTCTGGATAGATGTAACAAAGCCAGCAAGATATTTCTCCTTTGCCTGAATTATCAATCAACTGTAAAGCAGTGGCGGCATCCACAGTACAGTAGGATATTGCCCAAGGTGAATTTCTGTTCTGCAAGGTAGACTATCTTAATGTTGTGAATTAAGGTCTCTCTCTATTGGTGTGTCCATCTGCTCAAGTGGTCCTGTATCCCAGCCATTACTAACTGCTGCTTTTCCTTCTGTGGTGTCCAGTGACGGCTCCATGTGGGCTTATGGGTTGCTGTAGTGGTCAGTCCTGTAAAGCCTGGGCCACTGTTTATTTGGAGGACTGTCATCTGTCATGTTGTGGGTTGTTTTTTACTCTTTTGACTTTTATGTCTTTTAACTCTTTGGGGGGGGGGGAGCACCATCCAGCTCCCAAATAAAACACATGGAGTCTTATTCTTTCTTATAGTTGCCCAGCCTTAACTTGGCCTGTTTCTTGCCAGATTTTCTTAACTTAAATGATCCCGACTTCTCCAGCAGGTTGGACTTCATAGCTGTGCCGTTTCTACCCTGGCTGTTGGTAGGGCCTACTAAGTATTTTTAAATACAAGTATATTAGGTTTTAAAAATAAAACTCTAATATAATTAGAGGCAAGGATGAGGAAATTAGCAAGGGCTAATTGTAGAAGAGTGAAATAAACTTCTGGGCAGACAGGGCAGAATTTCCACTGAGATGCGCATTTATACACACACACACACACACACACACACACATGGATTTACATGTATTTATGTTACTCATTGACAGAATAAAAGCTGTTGAGATTTTCTTGGCTATTAAGCTATATAAGAAAAATAATGATTGTAAGAAGCCTGGATTTTACAGTTAAGAAACACGATTCCAGAAGTCCATTTGAGACAGTCATCTATGCAGTCAACAGATTTTTTTTTGATTTAATAAAGTTTTATTTTTCCAAATGTACAGCTGATTAAACCTGTTCATGCATCTTCACCAGCAGCTGGGGCATCTCCACCCTTTGTGTTTCTGGTGTAAATTACCTGGGCTCTGTGCTTTGAAACCAGCTTGAAGAGCCCTTTACTAAGGAACTCCTGAAGAGCTGCCCTGGCCAAGGAACCGCGAATCTTCAGTCTCTCAGAGACCACGGCTGGAGTAATAAGTTTATAGTTGGGAACTTCCTTACAGAGTTTGTCGTATGTAGCCTTGTCAAACAGGACTAGATTGTTGAGCTTGTCCCGAACTTTGCCTTTGGACCACTTCTTCTTTTTGGCCTTGCCACCGGACTTATTTACTGGGTCTTTGTCTTTTTTGGCCGACTTTCTGGCATCTTTCTTCTTCTTGTCATCCTTGGGCGGCATGATGAAGTTCGGAGAGTGGCGACGACCACTGCAGCCTCCCTAAGATGTCGGGGAAAAAAGCGCAGTCAACAGATCTTTATGGAGAACTTTTCCATGTGCTGGAGATGGATTATTAAGATAAGGAAGGCTCTCATTAACTGTGAGCCATAAACAATACTCTGTTTAATATAATCTGTGTAAATAGTAGGATGTCATTGTTAAGAAAAAATAAAGCAGAATGGTAGCGAAAAATGTGACAGGTGGAGGGGTCCTGTGTTGGAGAGGATAGTCAAGGAAGGCCTTTCTAAGAAGGTGGCATTTGATCTGAGATGTGACCAGTGGAGTCCACTATATGAAAACATCGGAGAAAAGCCTTTTAGCATCAGCCTGGATTGGGAAAAAGCTCCACGGGTTTTTAGGGCTGAACACAGGCTGTGTGGCTTGAGCAAAGAAGAGAGATGAGGCAAGGTGTTGAAGAGAAAGGCCTTGTCTGAGCTGTGTAGGCCTTGTGGGTCATGGTAAAGAGCTGGCTGTTCCCAGTTACTGAGTGTGTGAGTAAGAGAGTGACTCAGTGTATTGGAATCATTTTGGACCAGTAAAAGAAGTAGGTTTGTAGTCAGGCAGAAATGGAAACAAAGAGATCAGTGGATGGGGATAGATGATGGAGAAATGGAAGTAAATGCAGTTTCTGTATTTCTGGACTAGGAGGCTGATAAACAGATTGGCAGTCAAATCAGTTGAGGCGCGAGAGAGCAGACTTAGGCTGCAGGAAGGCAGGTAGCCAAGCCACACATTTTCACATGTTAGACTCAACAGTTTATGTTGAGTAGAGATTGTAAACACTCATATATCTATTATCCAAGGGCTTACTTCATACCACTTTGTGACCCTCTTGACACACCGGCTATTATCTCTTATTTTAATTGTTTTCTCTGAGAATAAGAAGCAGTGATTGTATTTGCTTCCTGATACAGAGTCAACACTTTGGCTTCCCCCATGGTTATTTATAAAGCTGTGGACGAGTGTGATCCAAGCTTTTGAAATCATGGCTGTGTTTGTTGTTTACAGGAGAATTTTATATTACACGTCATTCGAATCTCTCGGAAATCCACGTTGCTTTCCATCTCTGTGTGGATGACAATGTGAAGTCGGGAAATATCACTGCTCGGGATCCTGCTATCATGGGACTCCGGAATATCCTCAAGGTTTGCTGTACCCATGACATCACAACAATGAGCATCCCTCTCTTGCTGGTGCATGACATGTCAGAGGTGAGCGGAAACCGTGGCCTTCCCGAGCGGCTCACATAGCAGTCCTGTTAACATCTACAGGGTTCCTTCTAATGGGTGGACTTTTGTATCTCCTGTCGGGTCAGCTGAATTCAGTGACTTATAAAACAATGAGCAATGCTCCGAAGACTATAGTGTTGCTTGATGTTAGTAAGCTTGGAATTCTAGAGAATCTTTAGCTTTCAATAAGAAATGTGTCCTCCAGCCTCTCTTCTACCACCCTTCCCTCCGCTTCCTCTTCCATCTCTGGTTTTGCTTTAAGAAGCAGTGGATTTGCCTTCACAGTTACTGTGGGGTGAGTCACAGGTGACTCAGTGGGAGTGGGGTGAGGGAGATGTCAGAGACCAGCATCTGGTCCAGAGGCGCAGATCTGGTTTAGTGTGTATGTTCACTGGCATATATCTAGTCAGCTAAGGTCGTATTAAGTTACTGTCCAGTGAGTCCAAAGGGCATGCAACCCACGTTATGTGAGGGTATACAGCCAGGAGGACAGCATGTCGAGGTAGTGTGTTTGTGGACAAAGGGCATGAAGCAGGCAACATCCTGGGCTTTAGCACCGAATTAGAGGGTCTCCAGTTAGCTGAGACTGCATTATGAGTCATCTAGTGTTCCAGACTCAGGTCTGCTCAGACAGACACAGGAGGTGTTGGTGCTTCTCATGTTCCTTGTCTCTTAGTGACACCACCTGAACAGAGACTACTGACCCCTCAATTTACACTTGCCATTGGCCAATGCTAAGATAAGTTTGCATTTTCTGAATATGCATTAGAAGGCAATGGAAAGAAACTTTAAACAGCAGAAAGGAGCCGTTTTCTCAAGGATATGTCTTTTTGACAGTACAGATATTACCTTATACAGTTGAGATGGGGCAAAATTGCTTACCTGTCTTATTAGGTGTTGTGATTTACTTGGCATTTTTAGTTGCACGGAGTTTCTGTCGTTGCTTCCCTTTGGCTGTCTTCCCTCACTCATGTGAAAACTAAGTACAGGGAAGAAGTTGTAGAAATTAAAGTCTGAGATTCAACCTCAAACAAACTAAAGGAACATATGAGCTGCAACCCATGTGTATGCAGATAAGTCCTTTTGTGGGAGTCCACTCTGTAAGCAAATGAGCCTTCTTCAGGACAAGCAGACACAGAGCTGCCAAGCAGGCATGGGCACAGTTTTTGTTTTATTTGGGTGAGGAATGAAGGAAGTCTAAGTATTATATAT